TGGAATAATCTACTTGCTTTAAAACTACATCGTTATTAAACGAGTCTGAGCTGAGCTTTTAGAAGTAGAACGCCCTTGAAGTGTCCGCTTATTTCAGGTTTTGTGCAACAAAATGGCTTAATATGATGTCTGCGTCCGCTTAACAGAGGTGTCCGTTGAATGCAGGTTCATTTTACGGTATATGTGGGAAGAAAATTTAGGGACTCACGCTGGTGTCCACTTAATAGAGTGTGTCCGCTTAATGTGGGGTCCACTTAATACAGGTTTCACTGTACAAACAGGTTAGTTTACATGTCTTCAGCAGTAGCGTACATGCAATGTAGCCAGGTGCAGGTTGAGATGCTAGACTCTAAGCACCGGTACGATGTCTGAAACAGAGAGGGTGGTGTGTCGAATCTGTTCTTTGGAAAATAATTGGAAAGTAGAGCGTGACTGCATTTCTGCTGGGAAAAAGGAACAGGAATAAATCTACCAGCAGCTAGAAAAAGCTTTTTANAAACAGTTTAGTTTACATGTCTTCAGCAGTAGCGTACATGCAATGTAGCCAGGTGCAGGTTGAGATGCTAGACTCTAAGCACCGGTACGATGTCTGAAACAGAGAGGGTGGTGTGTCGAATCTGTTCTTTGGAAAATAATTGGAAAGTAGAGCGTGACTGCATTTCTGCTGGGAAAAAGGAACAGGAATAAATCTACCAGCAGCTAGAAAAAGCTTTTTATTTGCGGGTCACTCTGTGACCGTGATGGTCCCTAATGAATTTTGACAAATCGACTGGTTATGTGCACCAGATTGAAAACTTCATCTCTTCGTTAAAGTAAATCAGAGAGCTTTTGCATTTGTAGAAATGCAATAATTAAAAAAACAAAACAAAACAAAACAAAAAAAACCAAAACAAATGAACAAATAAAGAGGATTAAACTAGTGAAAGAGACCCATCTCTCATGTGAGACAACACTCAAAACGTCAGCTGTTACATGTCGTCTGAGTCATCCCCGCCAACAATACAAGGGTCAACATTTCGTGATCTGTTGTAACATTGTATATTATATTACCAGGGGATGTACTCCTCGAAATTCTGACGGGGTGTTGATGCC